ACTGTCAGAATGTGTCGCAAAAGTTGCAATACAATATGGAAAATTAGTTACAATTTAAAAAGATATGTTTGTTTAATAATTTGAAGGTCATTTGTATAACATACCGTTGGATAAATATTTGATCTTTATTATTTGGTTAAAGACATAACATATTAAATTTGATTTGATGTATGTTTGTTAGAAGATATATACAGAACGAGCGCAACAGATCTCGATAAAATTTTGTATAGATATAGAAGATAGTCTTTTTAGTTGCGGACGGATGAAATCGCGTGCAACTGCTAGCTTTAAAATAAATGTCCTATTAATCTTCCTATGTTTTTATATCTTTACACTAGTATTTATAAAAGAGGAGTCTTAGATATAAGTGGCTATAATAATTAGAGTGAACATGAGTGTGTAGCAAGCTTTAGATGCGGTCTAGGCCGGCCGCTGCCCCGCTAACTGAGCCCAAGGCGACGCTGCGGCACATACTCCTGTAGGCACTTGCTTTACGCACTAGCATAACGCACTATACGCTATTTATCTAACATCATTTCTACAATATTTTTATATATCTATATGATATTACATTTTATTTTGCAATTTTTAATTTGCTGGATAAAAGACATATTTGGTTTTAATAAAACTCAATTATATTAGAAAACATCGTAGAGAATACCGAATTGAATGTAATGTCATGTCAAAGATGTTTTCAAAACAGTGGTTAGCTGGAACAACTGTTGCATGGATTTACATGGAGCATCTAGGTAAGGAAAGTATAACTCAACTAGATTGCATTAGTGTCATTGTTGCAGATTGGATGGAAACTGAAATTGTACGAAGGAATAAGGTCATATGTGTTACAGAATGCATATATAATTCGTAATGCACATGAACCCGGAGAGAATCGAGAACTTTCCATCGTTTATTTACGATAAAACTGAAATAGAGTAATATAAGCATAGGGGCGCTGGCGTCGCAAATCAGCCGCATCTCGTGTGACATAACAACACACACACACATGCAAGAATATTTTGCTCCGCGCTCTTTAAAAGTGAGACGGACGTGTGCGATGTGCGCCCGCGCAGTGAAAACGGGGTCATGGTGCACTCACACACGCACGCGACGTGACGCACATTGCGTGCACGGATTGCGGATGTTCAACTTGAAAAATTTAAGGTTTAAATTCGCAAAATATCCTCCGCCATCGAGATTAAGATTCTGCATTTATTCTATAATTAAGAAATGTTATTTTAGCATTTACAACATGACCTTTTGAGAGATTACAAAGTGCTCAGATGTAGGAATCATATGAACAAGCAATCCCGAAGTTAGTATGAATAAGGAAGATGGGAAAAAAACTTATTTCTGTGCCGCGTCGCGGTATGTGTCGTAACAGTGCGCGATTCTGAGTGTCGCGATAAATATGAGAATTGAAAGCGTTTTATCAAGCGACGAGGTCAAGGGAATGGAGGAATTGGTTTCAATTACCGGGTACAGTATAGTACAGATTGTAGGCGATGCAGCCACAATCAATTTTATGGCTCGCAGCGAGCGCTGCGACAGAGCGGGGCATCGCGGATCTCTTGCGGTAGGTCAGTTTACTATGTCGTTCAAATATACGTACTACGACATCTAGTGACAGGCGGCGAAACTATAATGCATTTCTTTGAAAGGAAAAATAGTTCTGTAATGTTAGTAATTAAACCATCGTATCACTAATGCTAAGGTGACCATAATATTTTGGCTCATGCTTAAAAATCCTGAACATTTTTTCCGCTTTATCAATTCAATTGTATTGGAATCTCCCTTCACAATAAATACTAAGAACCGGATATAGCATGACCTTGACTTACTTATGATTCGGTAAAACATTTCTTAGAACTTTGACGAATATATCGAACAATTTAACTATTTTTTAAAGCTTTGAAGTAAGTAGTGAAATTATAAAAGGAGAGTAAGAGAGAAAACCAAGCTATGTTTTTGTAATACATTGTTACATTCAGTATGAGCCATAATCTGCATTATCAACGGAATGTAGAAAATACCTAGTGGCGATATTATTTCAATGAATTAAAAATTAAATATTAACAAAAAATCACCACTCAAATGAACACTTCTCTAACAAAAATAACTCGAGACAAAAAATATGCGAAAACGACTTTAAAATACTCGCAAAACGAGGAAAAAGCCGGTGTTATTCAGAGACGCGGGGTGCGAGGTGTGAGGGGGGGGGGGGGGGGTCAGAAGGGTACAACGAGAATTCACAAACGAAACGCTTGCGACATACCAAATTGATGTGTTTTTACAAAACCCGTGGCGACCTTCCCGCGCCACGTGCGACCACAGCCGAATTATTGACAACTTTAGCGAACCAATTAATGAGAATAATATAAAAAGTTTCCACTGTTTATCCAATGGTGACGAAAGTTAAATGAATCTTGGCTTTAATGAATACGTCACCAAACACTAAATCAAAATTGAAATACAATAATGCTTTTCGATTCCTGGAAATTATAACGAAGAAAATGTTGCCGTCAGTTCTAAACTTCGTCAGCTTATAATCAGACTAAAAACAATACAAATTGTAAGTTACTAAACCCAACATAAAAAATTGACGTCACACCTCACGTCTACACATAGGAGATGTCACGTCTTCTATGTATGACATCTTAATTTTTTTTAATTTACTAACTACTCATTTAATTTATCAAAGTTTTCCGTAAGCATTTATGACGTATCGTAAAACTGACGTGTGTCTGATAACCAGACATCACGTCACGTCACGTCACAAGAGATACGGAGAGACCCGGCGTCACGTCAAGCGCTAATTGGGTCGCTCTGCCACCACTGGTACCCTTGACACGCTGCGCCATATAGATTTCTATGTTATTTTAGCAGTACTAGGAATTCAGATGTTAAGGAAACATCGCCATAAGGAATGTTTTGATTCATTTTCCCTTTGATTTGACCTACATACAGTCGTAAGGACAATTTTAATTTAATAAAAAAGAAAATAAAAATTTATGTTAATTATTAGTGCACTAAAATAAGCTATCATCTGTGAAGATTAAATAAGCAAAATCCGATATGAGGCAAATTAGAAAATTTAGAGAAAGATTTATTTTTAGAATGAAATTTCATGATTACATTTGAAGTTAACGATTTATGGTCTATAAATGTGGTCAATAATACGCTAATCTTAGTTTCTTCGCTAACGAATATGATACATTTTTACCCAATATTTTATAAAGAAACATTATTATTATTTTGATATAATTTTTTTCATGTTTTTAAGTGAACTTCTGTGCAACAGAATAGTTACAAAAAAGCACTTGTCGTAAAAATCGGTTACGAGATAATCTCAGTTTTTGTATAAAGTCCCAAAGGAGCAGCCGCGCGCGGTAAGATGAAACAAATTTAGGCCACTTCAGAATTAGCGACTATTTTTACGTCTTGATAATATGAATAATGTACGGCTACAGAATTAAACATTATTATAACGAATAACTTATACTAATCGGCCATTAACCAAAGATTTTTTTTAGTATAAAAATAACTTAATGTATGGTCTTCTCCGTATTAACTATTTAAAATTTTATTTTCATCAGTTCGCGCAGTTTCATTAAAAATGGGTACAAAGATTCTGCTTCGCGTATTAAGAGTGTGTACTTAATATGATGTTTTTTGATGATTTTTATTTCTAGGAAATTTACACATAGGTCATAATCGTTTCTGTTCAATATTTATCATCCAACAGTTACATTGGTTAGTCACAATGACCTACATATTACATTGTTTCCATTGAATTGAACGATACATAAAAGTTTCCCGAAGTTAAAAATACACAGAGGCAATCAAATTATTAATAATAAATAAAATCTAATCAGATTTAGGTACATCGCTTTAATAGACACAGAGTTGTAAGTTAATTTGTAAACTATTATAAATAAAAAACCCTCTCTATTTCTATAATAATGCCGTACAACACGAAATATATAAGTTAAGAATGTTGATAGAAATTTGCCATAATAATATTCTAGCTAAGGAAAGTCTGAGTAGGCTTTGACGCGAGGTTTTCACTTCCGACGCGGCGCCGGTGGTCAGGTTACCAGAAGTATGCACCGCAACTATGCTACTGTTATATTATTAAAAGTACTAGTTAATTTTAAAAACTGACAGATCTTAAGACCGGACAACTTTACAGTACAGACAATTAGTACTAAACATAGTTAAAAGTCGTATCGTCTCAATGCTTTCAAAACGTTCTAAGAGGTGTCCCTTTTAAGGTGGAATATCGCGAGATTGACCAGTAATGCATAGTAAGTACATATAACTGATTTTTTAATCATTTGGAAATGTTTAATTGAGTGACTATTGATTCCCGTGGTGGGTCAACTATTTTTTTCCATTATGGTGTATTAAACAATGTAAATTAGTAATACGAATAAAAACAAATTTTGCACTCATTATTCGACAACAGAAAACAATAAAAGTGTAGTTTAATAGAGCACTCTACAAAGCTTTCCAATTTTTACTTATTACTCAGTAATTTAATATAAGTAATAAATGATGTTAAGAGCGGAATATTGTCAGTATTTAATAAATAGTAATAGCTGAAAGTTAGAACAAACTCGGTGTAGTAGCGATTAGGTCTCGTAAGATTATCATTAAGCATCAACAAAACTTTCTCGCGGTAAAAGCGGCGGATCGCGAAAGGAAAATCGTCGGTACTTCCTCGAGCGGAAACTAAAAGTGGATTGTAATCGCGAGAGAAAACTGCAATAGTTTCTCGGTGCAACGAAGAAATTGCAATGCACTAGCTTAATAACGTACAACGACATCTATGAATTAACATTGATACTACAAGTGCAGTTCTAGCGACATCTAGTAGGCATTTTCTTTATTAATCTTGCAATTTAAAAATCTTTGCTATCAATCAACAGATGTCGCTATTTTGCCAACATGCCAAATTAAAATGAATGGAAAGCGAAAGCACAGACTTTAATAAAACTTACCTTTACCTCCACCAGCATCATGCACTTGCGGCTTCCCACTCGGCACTCGCTGCATCGGCGAAGCGTTTCCATAACTCATCCCCGTTCCGTTGTAATCCGAACTCATGGGTTCTTGCTTTATACCACTAGATGTCGCGGCAAGTTTCTCCGCGAGGAGTGGATTTGCAGAAGCAATATTGTAGCGGCCATTGCTTATGTTATTCGCGACCGCGTTGTTGATGGCGCTGGTGCCGGACCGCAGCAGCTGTTGTAGTCGCTGCTGTCCGTTGTGGGGCGCGGCGATCTGGCTTTGCTGATAGTACTGCCCTTGTATTTGACTCCCGGACGCAGGTGATATATTGTTATTTTCCTCTTGCTGAAACACATACACCAAAATATGTTTAACTTGAAATAAAAAACATGAATATTGTTTTACAATATAAAAACTATGACATATGTTTAGGATTAAAAGTTATTATAATTTTTTTAATTGCTGGTAAGGTAATGTTTACAGATAATTTTTTACAACAAGCAAATCAACTTTTGTATTTATAAATATTTTTCAATATTTTGCATGTTTATGTGCCTGTGTTACAGTGTCTACCTTAATTTCGATGGGCGGCACGGGCGTCGCAGTGGAGTTGGTGAGGTCGGTAAAGAATGTATCGAAGTTGTCGAAGGCGGTCTCGCCGAGCTGCTTCAGGATGTCGTCAGGGTCGTCGCCGTCGTGCTCGGCGAGCCCCACGATGTTGCTGAGCTCGGCCTGCGACAGCTCGCCCAATGACGCCATTTGTTGGAGCGTCGCCGCCTGCCCGCCTCCGCCCGTCACCGCGTCCTGCAACGTCACAGTTCAACAGTTAATAAAGCTGTATGCTAAACGCTTCTAAATTCAGTTTCAGATTTTCATTTGCATAAAAGAAACATTACAACCAAAATAAGTTTTATATCAGCTATAAATGGTGGTCGAAATTCGGATGATAGATTATGTAGACTTTTTCTTTAAGCTAATTAACGAAGGCACAAACCTGCAGGCAATTAGAGAGGTCGACCATCCTGCCCTCATTTTCGGCTGTCCACCACTCGTCTTCAATAAATGGCATCGCCAGCGCCGGCCCCGACGGCGCATGCGTCCCCGCCACGTTGTCGCGCCTATTGCACGCCAGATGGCGCAGTCCTAAAGCTCACTAACACTAGCACTCGCGATCTACACACTTAAGTTTAATAGCACTAAAATTAAATTCGTATAAAACGTTTGGCAGCGTTTCGGACGGATGGTTCATTATTCGACGTAAATAATTTGACGTTTCTTAGGTACTAAGTTGCTTGGAACACATGTCGGTTGGCGTTGTATTGTCGTTGTTTGCTGTGGCCAGCTCGCTCTGGCGGCGGGCGGCGGGCCTACTGGCAGCTGCGCGGCCTGGCTATCTCACGCCCCGCAATCCGCTCCTCTTCAGCAGCAACCTGCCAAAATATAAGGCGTAGGCTTTCACGTCTTTAAAACATTGGAGGCTAATAGTTATAAAGAGATTACTAATTACAAATTAAAGTAAAATACCAATGTACTCGACTATCCGTATAGTTAGCCAGTAAGTCGATAATAGTAATTAACATGAATGTGCTTGTTTTCTATTATTACTACTTTTCGTCGTATTGAGGATGTCTTAAGAAGAAGAAGAGAAAAGTATAATCACTAAGTAGATTTGTTCACCTAACATCAAGTCGGTACTTCACTTGGCTGTGTTTGTGGTAACAGTACGTTAGACAATACATTATTGAAAGTTACATTTTTTATAAATTTATAATTCTATATTATTGTATTTATGATTTACATTTTAATTTTGAACTGCACAATTATTATATTATTGTTTTATTTACTTGAGAAGTTGCTATTGCATTAAAAGTAAATAATTTGAATAGAGATATTTTAATAGCACACTTCTACATAGTCACGTTTATTTTGAAGTCGATTAGCAAGTGCTGCATATAGCTAATCAGTAAGATTTTTAATGTAGGTACATCAAATTATAAATTATCTTATTGAAAATGATTACCATTTACATAAATAAAGGCAACTTTATAGATTTGTGGAAGTTTGCTAGAGAATGTTTTAATACTTTTGTTATGACATAAAGCGGGGCGACAGTGCCCCGAGGTCACCTGGCGATGCTCCGGCGGACGTCGAACTTGCCCCGCTGCGGCATAGGTGCGGCCATCCAACGCGCCGACCACCACGCATACGTCGCTCTGGAAACAAACAAAACTAATTTCATTATTTTGTATCAATTTTATACTTAATAAATATAAATACAGTTTTTGTATGGATAAAATCTTAGTATGGAAGTTAATCTTCTCGTTGCAACTTTCTGTGTCCACGGTAATGAGAAAGCTTAGCAAACTTTTTATCTACTAGATACTAGATGGCGCTTTTTAATTTCTACTCGTTTGCAAGTATTATTCAATTAATTCTGCGTATAATATTATGCCAATGAAATTGAAAAAACAAGGTGTACTTTTATGTATATGTGTTCAATTTTTTTTTCTCTATAGCTAAAAATGTAATGTTAGTTGCAATTTAGAAGTAAAATCATTTGTCGTGAAAGGAATATAAACTCATTCATACGCCGATTAAAAATCACAATGCGCGGAAGAGTTCGCCTCGTCACGGAGACGGTGGTGTAGAAAACGAATGGATTACTTTGCCTTGCTTCAGTGTAAAAACTTAACAATGCATCCCTCTCCCTCGTTAAAGACGTAATTATTGGCCATAGACAATGAGAAATTATACTTTTATTTTCTAAAGTCAACTTTCTTTGTTTCAAATTATTCGTCGTTACGTTATTTTGAAATTAAAAATTAAAAAGAGCGATGGATTATTTTTTTCTTAAATGTTATGATAAATTATTTATAAATATTCAATAGGAAAGCTGATTGTGTAATGATTACGATTTAAACTTTCGTGTTTTATTTTATAGTATGAATATGCATGTTGTATACAAATCGTTGAATGTGTGAACAATTTTTTATCACCGTTAGTTCTGAGTGGTTTATAATTGGGCCATTTACAATATAAAGTATGCTGGTTCTTACGGTGAAGGAAAACTCCAATTCAACCTGCGCATTACCTGGGAATATTCAAAGATATAAAGTCAACAACTCGCTCTAGAACAGCGTATTTGACGAGGACCTGGACATATAATACTCTCAAACCCCTGGGGATATATATGAGAAACACGTTTATATTTGTATATTTATATATTGTAGAACGTTGACACTCAGTGAGCGTGTAACATGTAACATACGTGATGTTACATAACGAGTTGTAACATGATGCGGTCAGCGCTGTCGTTGCACTGCAGTGTATCATGTGAAGTTCATTTTCTATTGCTAGAAATTTTCACTTATTACCAATATCTTACACTTGTACATATTTAAAAGTATTATTATTTGTAAATAGCTTTAAATGTTAAATAAATCGGAAATTATTAAGTAAACCTTTAAGGTTTGTTTTTTTTATTTATTTCTTTAAAACGAAGTTTTCTTTGTACGGTATTTATTCTTAGCGAGTGACCTCGACCACGCTACTTCCTGCTATAGGTATATTCTGAGGACCTTGCTCGCCAGCCGCAGTCACATTGCCAATGGTCAACATCTCGCTAATTACTCCTTTATACTAATTTAATTACTTATATAAATACGTGGACTCAAAAACTGAAGTTAGCCAAGCACTTGCCTCTCCGATTAGATGTTGGCGGTCGGTTTTGACAGCCTAACCTAAAGTTTAATAATGCCGGATGTAATTACATTATTTACTTGTTTGTTTTTTAAATAATTAGTTGGTTAATTATTTAATATAGGAAAAATTATCATGAGCAAATTGATATAATTTGCAATGAAGAAGTGTAAAGGCAATGTAGGTGCGAGTGCTTTAATATGTACGTTATCTACATTTTACGTATATTTTATAATAAAAAACTTATACGAACTTTAATTCATGCAAGTTTTGTAATATTTAAATTCGCTTTTGAAGTCATAAATTAAAAAAAAAGTGGAAACACTGCCATCTATGTTTGACTCTGTGTACTACGTACTGCATACGGTTGGAATTGTTCAATGTAATAAATTAAACATTAAAGTTAATAGAGAAAAATTACTTTTAAAATAAAAGTTTAATTATAATTTAAATTAGTTATAATTTTTTTGTTTCAATATCAAAAATTGCACAAAAATGTAGAGGCGGAACGGAACGCAACCTGCTGTTATGACAGCTATTGTCACCGAATGTCAAACCGGTATATTTTGTATTTTGGTAGTGTTGTTTTGTTTTAAATTTTAAGGATTTTAATAAATGCAATGTCAGGAGATTCTTCTACTTCTGATTCAGAAATAAGTGCGTGCAGTTCAAAATTTGATCCAGTCAAAACACTTTATTCAAGTAGAACTTTAGTGCCTGTTGAAAATGCTCCTATGTACAACAGTGTCGACCAATTTGAAGCTTCTCTTCAAAGTAAAAATACTATTGTTCCTGTTGGGCACAGTGAATTAGTCCGGCAACAAAAGGAAGAAAAGGAAAAAAGGCAAAATGAAGAAGCTAGACAGTTGGCAGAAGCGAATAGGCAGCGATTTGCCAAATACGAAGGTGAGGTTAGTTTACTATGTTTATGTTAATTTTTGAAACATTTTTGCTTAGACTAATGTTTTATAGATTGATCAGTCTTTGAACAATAGTTTTCAATCAGTTTTGTGTAAAATACACCACTATTATAAAAAGTATTACATATTGTTTAAAAATAAATACAGGGATTCACCATTTCCATACAACTTTATTGTCTTTGAGATAATTTTAGATATCTTTGTTGTTTTTGATGTAATGTTATTGTGTGATAATAATATTTATCTGTTCCCCTTGAAGTTGTACCTTGATTTCCAGCCAAAACAACAGTTAGGTTATAGATATAATTGATTTGATATAAACATTAGATAGTAATGGCCGTCGGCCTTGAACACTTGAGATTGTAGTAATTCTACACATAGATTATGTCTGTGATGTAATGTTTGTTCTAACAGGAAGTACAAAGATTTTCTTTACAAAGATTTTCTTTGAATATATGTTTGTGACATAAAATATTGTTTAAAATTTAGAAAGGTTTTCGGGACAAGAGTAATCTGCAGTAGAATGTGCCAAATTGTGAGGTACTATGCCTACTTCTAAAACTGACTGAAAGCGCCATCTAGTTTCAATGAACTATTGAACACAATATCTGACGCTTTCCTGCATTTGAATGAGAACTTTTATTTCCTTATTCCTGGAAGATATCCAGAATGGATAAAATAGTTGTTAAAAGAAACATAATATTTTGCCAAATTTCTTAATTATTGTATAGTCCTTTTCAAAAACCTTGGCAACTCGGAACATCATATGAGTAGCTGCACAGAATTAAATTTGAAGTGTATGGGCATAAAGGAACTGGAGGTGAGCGGTGCACAGCTTAAAGTTAGCGGCCAAGTTATTAAAAAAATTATGTGTGTACAAAAAATGGTAATATTTGGTATTTTACTTTTTTCTGTGATTGCAGACAAATTCTTCATATTTAGCATCCTTTCTTAGTTACACCTAATGATTGCATGTGAAGTGTAGATTTATAATTATAAGCAAATACAATATTATATCCAAAAAACCTGATGCAAAACAAACTCCAAAGATGATTTTAGCATAAAAACTTTTTTGTGTTTATTTCTACACAAGAAGGATATTTTAGATGCCAATCACCTGAGATATTATTTTTCTTCACGGCATATAGCAGTGTACAGTTATCTGTGCACAACACCCCGGGGGTGGCGGGTGGGTCGTCGGGTCGCCGGGCGCGTTCAACGCACGGCTCTGTGTCACAGTGGGCCGACGACCCCACCGGTGTTGCTAGGTCGCTTTACGCTACGCTATAAGCTATTGCCCGCATACACGTGAGCTAGTATGTGATTGGATGCTTAGGTGACTGGAAAGTACACGATGGAATTTATTATTTGTAATTAATATGATATGATCGTTTACTTTACGTTTAAAAATATACTTAATATGGATAGGAATTGTGTCTATACGCGAGTCTCGCTTTCGATTCTCAGCTGTGAAATTCGACGTGAAATTGATTTAATTAATTGAGTTTTATTTAGGAGATTAGTAACTGGTGCATAAGTTTTTAGATTTTCACTAATCTTTTACAAAATTCATGTAGATCGTGGATGGGATTGTAAGACAAATGAGAATCAATATGGGTCTTGAGTATTTACCATGTCTTTTGTTTTTGGATGTCTTATAATCTCGTTCAAAAGTGTCGTGGATGATATGTATGTCCGTAGTTTTTTTGCGTTTTGGTAGTGAGGTAGAATCGATGTTGTCCCGACCGAAAGCGGTGTGACGTGGCAATATCTGTGGCATCGCGTTCGCATGCCGCCCGTGACCTGCTGACCCTGTCACAATACATTTATGTAATTACAATTTTTCTAGTATATATCGTACTTCCAAACTATATTCTATATGTATGCCAAATTTAATCGATATCCGTTCAGCCGTTCTGGAGATACCGTCAAACCAACATCCATCCATCCATCCAACATTTACATTTATAATATAAGTAAGACTTTTAACATTTTCGGTATAGTACAATAGAAAATTCTTTTAGTTTTCAAATTGTTTTTCTACGGTCCGCCTCAATCACTACTTAATATTTTTACTAAGGTGTTATAATAGTGGACTAATATAAATCTTAAGAAACGATATACACACTTCTATCTATTCATATGTATTTATGTATTTATAATAGTGGGCAAATTCGATGTTCGTAAAAATGAACTATTTATTATATTTGAAATGCGACAACGCGCATGCAATCGCGTGCTTTCTACGATTGTTTTCCGGGCAATTTGACGAAAATGGCGCGGGAAAGTTGCCGCCTCGCATTTCGACCAGCTGCAAACTCCTTGCACGTATGACGGCAAAATCTTATAGCACGCCTATGGCTAGTCTAGTAAATATTTGCCCAATCCTGTATTTGCCTTTTGGGTATTTTAGAACTAATTAGTGCGTTAGAATTCGAGAAACTCGGCGTTTGCCGCACTTATACTGTTCTGTCGATTGCAATTTGCAATAAATTTCTAAATCGAAGAAAACAATGCATGTAATTATTTTATATTTAGAAGCCAAGGTATTAAAGTAAGTGTTGCCTTATAAACGATAGGTAATATCAAAGTAATGCAGAAGATGCAGCTTTATATTGCAGATTATGCATTTTGATAATAGTTACACTGTAACATCGTAGCTTTATCATTACTCAAACGCATAATGGAATGACTGGAGCGATGTACGAGGTCCATCGCGGCTTTATCACGTCATCTAGATATGAAATTGCGATGGTAAATGGAGTGCACTTCGCTAGGCGGCTTTCTCGTGCGGATTTGTTGCATAACCGCTTTCCACGCGGCCGCAACGCCCTCCCCTCGCACCCGTCTCGGTCCTGGACCCACGGTCGTTGACACACGCGTCCAGATATTCGTGGATTTATCACGAAAAAAAAAACGAAACTCGTCCCGGTGCCCGGTTTTTGCGAAGCGAATTTTGAAGACACGTCTTTCGAAAGCAGCTGGAATTATAATTAATATTTATAATCTGTTTTTGATGCCTGTCCATACACGATCGATGTTTCTTTCGGCGCGAACGACAATGGAATATAATCAATAATGTTAATCGTAGTTCAGCGCGAGGCACAAAAAGTATTACTGCGATGATGTATGGAATATGATTGTTTTCTTATGTTTACGAGCAGAATTAACGAAGTAGATAACAACTGTTGCGTGGTGATATCGTGGCGGGCGAATGCGCGTTCCTAGCCGCCGGCGACGTACTCACTTTTATCGTATTGCCATACTTATCTCTGTGTTCTATGCTTATTTATGTTATTTTAAGCGGCAACGTGCTATTATTAACCTGTTATGTTATTTTACGCTATTCCGAGACGGAACGCTGCAAACTGTATTACGATCCCATAATATGTACATAGGTATTATATTACATAATGGTACATAAGCTGGAGCACGGCAGGGTAATATCAGAACATATACAACGTACGGTGCAGGGAATAATAAGTTATAAACTAAACATATGAAACTAAGTCAGGCGTCCACGTAATGTACGAAACGGAACGCAAAGCGGAAGTGATGCAACGGAACGCGTTTCGGCGCGCATCTGTGTAAACATGGCGGGGTTTTGTGAATGGCGCGGGCGGGCGCGGGCGACGGCGTTCCCGCGCTCGGCCGACGACCCCGCCGCGGTCAGCGCCCGGCCCGGCCGCGGGGATGGCGCAGTGAAAGTAATTCGCAACCGGCCGCCCGCGACTCGCTGCTCGCGACCCATGCCACCCTGGTACTTAGCCGCCACACACGCATGCCTTTTATGTAACAATTTTCTTTGCTTATGTTTTCTCATCATTTCTAATGGTCGCGTACAAATCTGTTACATGATAAGTAAATAACATGAGGTTTATTTATAATTAATTAATCTGAAAAAAATATTTTAGTATTTACTGATATTGATTGCATTACACTTTTCCACGACCTTGCCATGTAAAATTTTTATAACTCAATCTCTTTGTATGTAGAAACTTATTTAACATGTCACAGATTTTTAAGGTTACAAAACTTGTACTTATATACAAATAAATTAGCTGATATTTGGACAAATATGGCAGGTTGTCAGATTGCTGACATTGCGGCAAAAGCAACGAGGCGTAATCATCGACAAAATTCGTTTGCGCCGTCCGAGATTCGATACTGATTCTTCAAATTTATGAAACAAACAAAATCGCCTGTCGTGATGATTACAGTCTCTACATGATACGAAATATAATCACTTTCTTTGATCTCGGTAAAGGCTCGGATGTAACAACACGGAAAAGCTTGTAAAAATTTGTAAACAATTTTTAATGTACACCATTATGAGATTTTTTTTAATATAAATAAATCTTTTAATACTTCTCAAAAGATAAAATATGAAACTGCAGCGTGGTCTTGTGTGTCGGGTATTTTTTTTAAATATGCCAACAACTTAATATACCAGTTTAATTGTAAAAACACGAGGAAACAAAATAAGGAATGTAACGTAACAAAACATGATACACTTATCTCGGTTTTTCCAAAGATAATGAGAGAGATGAACATATGTTTTATACGTCTATAAATATTTTAATATATATAATATTTTTTTCTAGCTCCCACACCCAGAAGACCACCCCCGGCCAGGACCAGTAAGAACGTCCTACATCGCATCCAAGACATAGACGGCCCCCTCGCCGTGCTCAAGCAGTGCGTGGACCAGAGACTCAGAGTTAAGGTAACCATCCCAGCCCTTATGGCAGGTTCGCAGTCCAACGATCCAGCGCTGGGTTACAACAGAAATAATGAACTCACTCTATAACGTGCATTGTATTTTCCAGAGTAAGCTTACATTAACGTTACAGTCCAGCTCGGGATTTGCATGGCTGGACTGGAATAATGTTAACTGGACTTAAAAATGTCTACAATTGTCTTGGTACTTTTACATATTTAGCTTTCAAGACTTACACAGTTCACCCGAGTTGTATATTGAATCATGTTGTTGAAAAATAACATTATTTTCTGAACGTCCAACATTTTTTTAAGTGTAAATGTCAATGGTCAGCAGCGGTGATGACGAAAGTGTTTGTTCACAAAAAAGGCTAAATAATAATTTTGTATTCTGGAACAGTTATGAAGCGAAAAGCTTTACTGTACCATGTATAGTTTGGTGGGTGTCATAATTCTGGATGCGGTCTTTTGTGCATCCTTTGTGCGTTCCTGGCTGAATGCCAACCCGGAACATTTCCCGCGGGAACTGCCGACTGATGCTACCGACTGTGCCGAATTAGATCTACTGAATATGATGCGCCTGTGCCGACTAGCACATAAACGTCTTAGATGTATCGATGGACTTCAATCATCGTTTTAAATTGATGGACTGGTTCTCGTGTTATTTTAGAAAATAATGGCAATAAAGTTTGCATGAGTAATTTAATTAGTAGTAGATTAATAAATAATAAATGACCCGATTAGTGCAGCTATAGAGGAAACGACCCTTAACTGAACATAAATACATTGCCAATAGAAGGTAATTGAGCTAATTGTAATGCGCTTGAGTCCGTGAGAGCCCGCCTTTAGCTGCGGGTGCACATTAGATGTTTTGTTGCGTGCGGAATTATAACGCTCGTTTTGACAACTATATGGTCTTATACAAACTGTACGAGAACTACGCTAAGGAAAGGTCTGAAGAACTATTAAATAATTTTGCGTTTGTTTCAATCGAAAAGAATACGCCCTATTGAAGCTCTTGTTTACAGCGACAATTCGGAAACTTAGTAACACTTATGTTATCGACTTTATCAAACCCTTTTGTTAGCTATCAGTGGACATTGACCACACGAGTTGTATAGTGTGATGACGTCATAAAATTGCGTTATAACTGTGTTATAAAAAAAATAAGGAACGTCTTTAGAACTATCAGTGTTGTGATAATGTCGATGAATTAAATGGAATCTTGAATTGTTTTTTGTTAATTCATTTCAAAACTTCTCGTTTTATCATGTACGTTGGTTTGAAGCTTCTCTTAAATGAATGTAAGATTGTAAAAACTATTCCGCGTTAGGTTTTAACCGAACCAGGAAGTCACAGTGGTGAAATTATAGAGTTTTCTTTAACGTGTCAACCAATGATTCATGGGATTGAAATAAAAGAGTAGTTGCACAATGTAATGGTAAAAGGGTGCGTGAGATGAGTCACGGTGACAAGTAGGAAGAGCCTTGTCGTGTTTGTGTCGCTTTATTCGCAATGCTGTGAGCTCCGAGGGAAGGTGAACAACTCGGTTTTATCATTTTCTCGATTTATACTTGTCACATTAATTATGATCTGTGCTTTTTTATAGCGAGGTATGTGTGTGTGGTTATACCGGTGCTAAGTAAATACGTCGCAGAAAACACAGCTTTATTTTTATTGTAGTGTGATACGTTGTTGCATTTTTATATATCTTACTAATATTATAAATGCGAATGGTTTGGATGGATGTTTGTTAGAAGGTATCTCCAGAACGGCTGCATGGATTTCGCTGAAAGTTAGCACAGAAACATAGCCTGGGAGGTTTGCATGAGCTACTGGTTAATATTTTTTTTAATTCCATGCAGACGGAGTCGCGGGGACAGCAAGCATAAATATAGATCTAATAACACTATGATAAATGTAAATTACTATAAGTTAGTGAGTGTTTTACGGCTAACTATCGTATTACGGTTTGGTCTTATTACGTTGAATTTCTTAATGTATGTAACTACAGAAGTGGTGTACAACAGTAGATATCAACCTTAACCTAGAAGTAGAAACCTTCCCTTGTAGACCCAGACAACGTAATTGAACAGAAAGACATCCCGGTAACATCTAGGTCTTTAATAAATGAAAAGTGAAAAAATTATTTATTAAAATCCATGAACATAAGTTTACATTAAAAGGTTAAGCTAAGAAATTTAATGGATACAAAAAAGGGCATAGCGTTATAGAAATAAATTATATTTACGACAAAATGTTATAATACTAGCGATTCCCCGTTACTCTGTCCGCGCGGAATTAAAAAAAAATCATAATTAGTAGCAAATGTGTTCTGGAGATACTTTCAAACACCATCCATCCATCTAAACACTCGTATTTATATTATTAGTAAGATTAGTGAAATTGTGTAATTCTATATCTAGACATCGTTTGAATTATTTCGTTTCCTCAGTTTAGCAAGTTAGTGTACAAGTTAAAAATATTTTAATTGAACCAATTCTGTTTAATTCGTCAATGTCAGTACCTTTGTATCGTGGTAATTGTATTACAAGCTTGTTTCGCCTTGAATATAAATTTGTCGGCAGCCGTCATGCAATAAAGAAAAACCTTCGCGACCTTACAAACATTTTGGTGGAACTAACGAAAAATTCAATTAGGAATCAACAATTACATTAAGTATTGGGGTAAAAACTATTACAGCGCCTAAGGGGATATGGTATTTTCAGGTAGCTTAACGTCTTATTAATATTTTGATCATTAAATTCAGGTAAACATCGTGATGCGACCTGCACATCTCTAAGTACAGATTCAAAGATATGTGTGAAGTCAACCAACCCGCACTTTGCCAGCGTGGTTGACTTAACCTAGTCACCTCTAACATAGGGTAGTCTCCGAGTCCCTCGGTGTAGATGTATAGTGAGCTGATGATAATAAAAAATACCTAGTATCTATATAGTACCTAAGGACCTATGTTTTAAATATGGCGAAAGTATTTTCCTTTCTTTACAATTTACTTAAGAAATAATTCGATATAGAGTAGATAACAATTTAACAATAATATAATTTGTTTATACGACCCTTTTGGTAATCAAACCTTCGTCAGATCAACAATGTAATTATAATACAATATACAATGTACTTAATTTTTTCCGATCACTCGTGAGCCTTGTTTTCACATACACAAGTTGTGTGTATGTGCGTGTGTGGCCCTTCGTTAAAAATATTGAATGTTGTCGTCGCTGAAGGCCTCGGCTGTCGCGACGGCGGCCGGCACAAACACTGTCATTGCTGTGTGTTACGCAGCATGCGTGTTGCACGTGCGGGTACAGTCAGCACGAAAAGTTATGCAAATAATACATAAATAATATTAAAGCCCTCAAAGTAGGTTTGATTAACGTGATAGACCTGGACAAAGGAAAATTTATAAAAAGTTTTCTTTCAGCTTATAATTGAACATGTAATGTCTTGAGTCTATTTTCTTCTTGATTAAGATAATGCACATGAAATATACATAAACATAGTGAAAAAAAGAAACGTGATTTAAAATTTAATACCTAACAGAAGATGCATTGCTGACATGGAAACTTCAGTCGGTTGCCAAAGCGTTGCAAGGAAAGTTTTTGTTAGACGGCAAATTAAGGAAAAAGTTGATTGTTTTAATTTTTCATTCTGACTGTACTACTGGGTGGCGGGACCTTGTTGTGATGTCAGTTATCTCATGGCCATTTTCCTCTGCGTGTGTGTGGCGCCGGGTTAAAGTGTGAGTATGTTTGGATACAGCAGCGGACGTGTGTATGCGTCAACGCGTTACTATTCACGTGTGTGCGTGTAAGAACGCGTGCATGTGTGCCACGAACAAGGGCCGGCTAGGACGAATCGTGCACGGCACAGATACTTCCTCGTTGATTTAATCCATTTATCAGCCATTAGTTTGTTTCGGCGTACCGGGCTGCTCGCCTTGACGCCCAAACGAGCACCTCAATAGATAATTGATTGGCAGTGGCAACCCTGAAATACTCTGTATGCGTGGTGCGTTAGTTTGTCGTTACTACGTTTATTAATTTCTTGGGACTTTTCTTCCCACAAGTCCCTTATACAATAAAATTATCATTTCTAAATCAGGAATGTTGTTTCGTTTTATTAAGTGTTTCTTAATAAGAGACCACAGGATTAATTCAAAATACTACAGACATCCCCCAAGGTAAAATAAAGATAAAATGGCCAGAAATTCGTTTATCTAATCTTAGATTATTCAAAGATGAACGTATATTTGTGACGACTGACTCAAAATGTCATCGCGCTCGGCATATGATTGTAGCAGAGCGCTATTCGCACGTCACTAAAGACATATTTTGCATGATTTAGCATAATATACGGGAGTACGTTTTTCCTCGTGTTTGTTGTTTTCCGTCGGAGGTGATACCGGTGCGGTGCGGCGGAGCCAGCTCACCCCGAATTGTGAGCCGTCGCAAGGTCGCCTACATTCGAAGTGCGCTTAAAAAAAAACTCCTCCGCACCGCTTATAAGTTTTATTTTTTTATTGTTGTTTTGTCTTGTTGTTAAGCCCTTGTTTGGACTCGTTTAAATCAACGCGTACCTTCTGACTTTATGGATACGAAATTTATCGGTTGCAAGGATCAAAGTAGACGATGAATTACCGAATAACGAATAAGCCATGATTAATATGGAAATAAGGAATCGAATGTACTTACAGCTCTTTAAAAGCCTTCGACTTATCATCCGGCCGGCAGGATCAATTACGTCTCGCCGTTACCTGTAAATTTAATAATGTACTTTAAAATATATTCAAGAAGTTTTCTCTTTATGGTATTGAACAGGAAAAAAACACTATTCAATTTTAAGAGAGCTTAAGGAATATGAAAAACAGATAGTGACTCGGCCCTTTTTTTTAAACATAAAATGTTTTAGGTCCCGATTCAATCTACATTTATGGCCAGCCTCATTATCACACCCATTATCTTCAAGGCTTCGTTTGAAAAGTAATGTACCCTAACGATAAATTTATGGTTTCAATAATCATTTAGATGTCGAGTACGCAGCGAAGGTATGATGCATTCGGCCTCGCGGGTAAACAGACGCTAGATAGCGCTAGACAAAGACGATGCGAGGTCATGAGCGTAGCCTTGCGCGGGTGCGCGCGCGCCGCTTCCGCCTACCGACGTCGCGCCGCACGCCGCACTCGGCCCGCACTCGGCGCCCGCCACTCAACGGGAGCGGACGCCTCGATAATATGAATATCGCCTTGGAAAATACTCCACAAGGTTTCAATTAAAATATCACGCAATTGTATTGTATTGCGTTTATACTACAATTAATACGGTTAAATAAAATGTAATTATAATAGTAATTGAGGGATGCAGTTCTTTGATAAATAATAGATTTTAAGTATTTACATTATATTACTGATGCACGTAGTATCATCCTACGCAATCGCATCGCAAAATGCACTTGGATGATTTCACTTTGCATCTCGACAAAGGATGAACGACATGTTCATTATGTACAGTAATTTTATGCATAGCGATGCGCGGCCCGTTGTGTTGCCAATAGCAACGGAATCAAGTTCTACACCAGTCATACCCAAAGCGGATATGTGGGACCCCGGAAAACCCCTGGGGTGTATGATAGTGGAAAACATAATGAGTTCACGTAAATAAAATTTGTAGAAGCGGGGGTTCACCAAAACCAGAGTTTAGTTTTTCATTTTTAATTTTAAAACCTTTGATACATATAAAAAACCCAGCAAATAGCGCTTTAAAGGCTAAATTAATATCTAAATATATAACAGTCTTACCGATTTTTATCCTAATCGCGGCGCCTATTCCAGCCAACAACTACAGAAACTGTGCTAGTTGAATAATATAGGAAGTACTAGATCTGAGTATATACTTATTTTTATCTGTATTTATTATACATACTTCTATCTGTTACTAACCATTTAAAACTTGTTAACGAGTGATTTTCTCTATTAATAAATCAAAAGTTAAATGAAACCATTTGTCATAATATCTGCTAAAATAAAGAATCAAAGAGTTGATGGTTAAAATTGGAACCTTACATCTGCTCCTGTTAGTGGAGCGAAAAGTTATTTTATCCAAGATCAGTAACATTTTGTTACGATTGGTATTTATAATTCGTTGCCTAGAGGACGGATCGACTATCATCAGTATTACGCAAATTGAATCTGCGATGCACCGCTTGTCGCATGCCGCGACCTCGCGCCGGCGTCAGGGCCGCGCGACTTCCTGCTCTGTGCACTTTTCATACGCGACTGATAACGCGGTTTTACTCAGATAACTATGTTATTGTTCTCATATAGGTTTACGAGTGTTTAGTGTCACTGTGTTGGCTAGTTTGTGTTTAGATGTGTCTCTGTGTGTGTATGGGTGATTGTTTTGCTGCGTTTAGGATTACAATTCGATTTATTGTTTGTATTACTAAATGGCTAATGACGTACAAGTTCAAGTCTTTTATTATCTCGTTTAGTTCTCAACATTGTTTTTAAGTTTGACTATCATTTAGGTATATCATGTGTTTGATACGTGCTATCCTTATCTACCGGATTGCTCATCTAACTGATGCATCACCAAACTTGGACATCACCAAAACGGATGCGAGTCACTTGAACTTACCATGTTTGTACACGACCTACAACTTCCGGTTTGTAAGGTTAAATTAAAAAACCAGACAAGATTTAATTGTTAAAAAATAACCCATAAAGACTGCAGACGTGACGTCATGAGTCGATGGCCTAGATGACAATAATTGGCTGCAGTGAGAGACTACCATAATATATGCAACGACATCCACAACGCTGAGGATCGCATTAGAAAGGAGACATACCCTACAGGACAGAGTAATTGTATGGACGGCGTAGTATTTGTTTTAAATAAAAACTAAAATTTTGATTCCTGCTACTTTCTTTGCCGGTGTATTTTCAGAAGACTCCGGGTCATCGTCGTTGACTATGTCGGGCTATCGTTATCAATATTGTCGGTCACTGGACTTATTTTGGCAACATTTTATTCATTATCTTTTAACACGGTTTTCTGTTTGTTTAATATGAATTAATTGCTATATATAACACAAATTACTGTGATGTGCTTTTTAATATTGCAAAAAAAACCTAAAACTCGTTGTTAATCGTAATGTCGATAAATCGTTAAGTCGTAATGTTTCGATATAATTTTAATAATAATCAGACATTAAGATTGTTGTAAACAACAAAAAAATTGTAACTATAACTGGTTCATACCGGTTTGATAAAAGTAAACAAAACATAAGTAAATAACAATACGCTTATCACAATTATAACCGTTTTGTCTAGGATCACAGCCATATCTAGACAAGGAAGTTACACAGAGACCTTCAGTATTCTAGTTCCTACTAGCGGTAAGACTTTTTAAACATTTAATTGAGTTTTCCTACGAAAACATTGCGTTTAAACGTGATAGCCAAAATGCAGTTAAAGTTAACAAGGACACGCGGAAACTTTGCTGTTGCGTAGTTTGCATGCAATTTAGAATTATTACGAACATTAAAAAATATTATACTACAACCGTGAAGAAACTTAACGGCGTATGAGGTATTTTTATCATTTTTGAAGATTTAAGTTTTTTTTTAACTTATATGTGAGGTTACAAAAATATGCTAAAACAAATACGCTTCGACCTTATTATGGCTAACTGTAAGTATCTTGTATAAGTGTTTAATTTTACCAATACTGTTATATTAGTGATCTTTAGCGCAGAGCCTTGTATCATGCTATAATGATGTTAATTTAACATACAACTTCCTTAAATGGTTACTTGATCTAAATGTCAATTTACTTGTTCATCGATGAATTATTGGAATAATTGAAATGTAAATTGTATTTACCCCATCAGGTACAGCCACTTACTTACTGTGAAATGTGGTAAGGAACGGTTCAAAATGAATAAATCTGTCCGTAAACAAATTTACAATTTTTTATGCGGATTTAGTCGAGGCGAATCAAAAGAGAATTTGAAGAGGTTTGACAACGACACGAGTACATTTTCATAATTCCATAGCAAGACTTATTTAGAACTTATTTTTTGTCAAAATCTGAAATGTTATTACTTTTTACAATACCTGGCGTTAAGATTAGTAGAACAAGATATAGTTGATGTAATATTGCGCAATTGTTTGTCCTCACTTTTCCTATGACGTCGATTTTGTTATAGCTTTTTACCACTACGAACAGAAAAAGGCCTATGATGATAATAGACATTAACTGTAGTCCTATTTAAATTATACTTTTTAACATTACTATGATGAAAACTAAGTGCTCTTTTAGTATCTTTCCTTATCCATTTTTATGACAAATATCAAAATTCTCAGAATTATTACAAATCATTTCTGTAGAAATCAAACATACCGACGTAACCACGTAGAAGCATAAAACCGGGACTTACTCGTAGCTTTTTTTCTCGGTACTTTTATCATGCTTTAAAAACTATTATTTTATTGAAAAGCATACTATAACAGTTACAACATAAAAAGAATATGTTATTATAATTGTAAGTAATCTATGACCAAATAGTTCGTGATTCCACCGAGGACGTCAAATCCATAGATTCTAATTACTCGTATAACACGAATCCATTCTTGTATACGACCATATTTACTAAGTCCGTTCACCCAATCATGTTGTCGTGTCTTCAGCGGGTGACTTACGAGCGTTTTGTTGGAGAAAATTACAATGCGGCGGCGAACGATGTTCACTTTCGCCGCAATCACGATTTGAACGCAACGAGCAATGATATCGATATTACAATCGATTTGTAGGTTTAATCGATTATATGAGCGATTATGATGCTAAACTGTTACAGAATATTAAAGTGTTTGTTTTTCAAAGTCGATTAAGGATTAGTCTTTCGATCATTTATTTAGTAATTTTTTTGAGCATCATAAGAAAGTTTCTTTCTTTCTTTTTTACTTTATTACTTTTGGTAATATTTTTTAACCCCTGATTACGTTTGTATCCACTTATAAAGGTCAGCGCTTAGTGTTCAACTGACTCAGGGTCGATGTCAACTGTCTTTAGGTGACGTCACAGTTGAGACGCCGGAAAAATTGGACGTTTTGATATTGACCTCATAAATATGATATAAGCACCGACATTGACCTTTACCCACAAAGTTAGACCGAGACCTTGCTCCTAGATTTGTTTTCGGCGCCCACTTATCACCTTATTTGTTGTTTTTATCACGCGATAAAGGGCTCGGCCTTGCGGCGTATCTGCCGAAGGTCTGTTCGTTCGATTCCGGTATTATTTTTTTTCGGCTATGGTTTCATGCGCCACTAAGAGTTCCGCCTTCAAAGCAGGTTTCCTTCCTTATTGGTTTAGATGCACTGTGCAGTTGTTTTTTTTCGTCTTGAAGGCTATCGCTTATTGTTCGAAGTTCGCCAACTATTCAATTACACCAATAGACCGTTGTAAGGAAGAACAGTTTAGCGATAAAACGGTTTTTTTAATACTTTAATCGAGTGTTACCTTTTAGAGCTTGTCATCAAAGTTGCTTTTGGAAAATAATAAAGGGATGCTATATATAGAGTTTGCTCATAATATCTGTGTGTATGCGGTTCTTTTAAAAGTGTTTGACATATTTTTTTCGTATCCCTTAATAGCTTTTTGTTGTTACTTCTCTTAATCGCAGTTATATTTAATTCTCAAAGGAAACATTAACGTTATATTGCCCGTGCCTTGTTCGCGACTCATGGAAAGCAGTA